TTGTTTTATTTTATTTTTTGCTGTTATAAATAATGCTCCTGTTAATTTTTCTGTTATATATTTTTCCATGTTTTGATTTATCAGGACAAATTCACAGAATTGAAATCACTAAGTCAGATAGAAGAAATATTTATAAGAAATAATAAACTGACAAATTGTTAACCCCAGAAATACAGTCATCTCTTGATATACGCACACTAAAATCCCTTGATTCTCAAGTCCTTTACATAAAATACATTTGCATGCAACCTACACACATCTTTTAAGTAATCTCTATAAAACTCATAGTACTAATACAATGTAAATGCTATGTAAATAGTTGTAAACACAATGTAAATACTATATAAATAGTTGCTGGCAGATGCAACAAATTCAAATTTTGCTTTTTGGAATGTTCTGGAATTTTAAAAAATGTTACCTATCTATAGTAGTTGGTAAATCTACAGATTTGGAACCTGCAGATATGGAGGGATGATCATATATGAAAATTATGATTTCATGTGGCCCATCATGGTTTTAATTTTTAAAGAAATATTTGTTAATTGTTTGCAAATATTTACTAATATATTTATATTTATAGATTTAAATATATAGTTATTTTCTTAATGATACATGGGTTTGAAAAATCTTCCAAGTTTATTATTAGTGCATGGTTTTTGAATCATCTCTTTATGTCAGTTGCCAATATCAAATATTTTCATTACTGATTTGCATGACTGTTTCTAAAATTAAAGTTATTAGACATACTGTCTTCTAAATTTATATCATCCTTTATATCAGGAGAACTAGAAGCTGCCTCTGTTCTTCTTAGCTCACTTTTAGCTAATTAGGTGGCTATTTTTTTTTTAACTGTCTCTCATATACTCTCACAGGCTTCCCAGTTAACTCAGTGGTAAAGAATCCACCTGCCAATGCAGGAGACGTGAGTTTCAGCCCTGGGTCGGGAAGATCCCCTGGAGAAGGAAAGGGCAACCCACTCCAGTATTCTTGCCTGGAAAATCCCACAGACAGAGGAGCTTGGCAGACTATAGTCCATGGCATTGCAAGAGTCAGACACAACTTAACGACTAAACAATAAAAACATATACTCTCATAACTGGATTTCCCAATGACTGTAGTTAAAATCAGTGGGTGAACTTGCAAGCTTAACAGAAGCAACTCTCCCTGAAGATAGACCTCATGCATACTTTTCAACTTTTAGTAGATAGATTTGGTATCTGTTTCTTTCTTTTTAAAAAATAGCATAGTTACAGAATTTTATTTAAGTCCCTGTCTTTAGGCAAAATGTTTCTTCTAACACAACTCGGAACTGTCAGAGAGGTACTGAACTATGGCTGAGTTTGTGTGTTAATTGAAATTTGAAAAATAATTGGAGTCTTCATAGAAATTTCCATTTCTGGCTATAACTCACGTTGCTGTTTGAACTTCAGACATTTTAGATTATCTCTTCACAGATTACAGTTCTAAGCATTGGGAGTGTTTTCTCAGAATTTCCCCCATGGAGGTGCCGTTTTCCATGATTGCCAACTTTTCTACTGCTTTGTACCAGGACAGGCAGACTCTGTGATACAAGCTGTCAGTTGAGCTTTTATGTGTGGCTTCTGCTGAGCCTACTTTCATGCCTGACATTAATGTAGCTAAGTTTCCAAGTGCCACAGTGCAAAGCAGAAACCCTCAAGGTTACATGTGACTTTTTTATATAGTGGATTCTATTTGGACCATTGTTTTCCCTCAGTTCTCACCTATTCTCATGTTTTAAGCAGCAGATCTCAAAGATTTTGACTTAAGGGATTTCAAATGTACCAGTATAATACCCTGCATAAAACTGCTATTTTAAATACTACAACTGGTGTCTTCTAGCATTAAAAGGCATCATCCATCCTTTCATTCATTTGACAAATATTGACTGCCTAGGGGAGCTAGTCTGCCTGCATTTGAATTTCAATTCATTAATTTAGCAGCTCTGTAAATTTAGGTAAGTCTAATTAATCTTCTCAGCTTTTCTCATCTGAATTGCATTATTTCAACTATGATGACTATAATCCAGGCACTGTGCTAGATGTGATGAACACTTCAGTGATTAAAACAAGCATGGTTTAAACTTTCATGGAGTGTAAACTCAGTCAGGAGAGGTTTCTGGGTTTTGGAGAAGATAATAGAGGATGCCTAAATTTGAACCTCTCTACCTAGCTTCATATAATGCACAAAGGATAACAAGGAGAGGCAATTAAATCTTCCATAGTGCACAGTTACAACTTTAGTAGGCAGAAGAATGTAAAAAATCTCAATTGACACATAGGTGAAAGAACATGTCTAAAAATAGTGGAGTCTGCTCAGGAGTCCATAAGAGTTGAGAATCAGATGGAAATTCTATAGAATGAGAGAGAGGGCAGTGGCATCAACGTGTCACTATGACACAGATAATATCAACTGAGGTTTATCCCCAAAAGGACTGGGTCTTAATTCTGAATGAAGAAATAATATAAAGTGTGCGTTTAGAAATGGATAGGAGCTCTGGCTACCAAGAAATCTAACAGAGGATTAGGAAGGGAGTGTCACAGGCAGGTACCACCACCATGGAATCTGTCTCTTGGGAGCTCAGAGATAAAGAGGAGGAAGGAGGCATTTGAAGGTAAATGCCACAACTTAACATGATAAAAGCAAAGATTCAGAAGAAAACAGACCCAAAAAGTCGCTTATTAAAGAAATTGCACCTCACTGTAGCAATAGTAGAAGACTTGCCTAAACCAAGAAATCAAGTAAACCACTCAGTCTCCTATAATACTGCTGCTCTAGGAAAACCCAACCCAAATGCACTGTTATTGGATGCCAATAATGAAGAGTCCCAACACCCCTACTGAGTTGTTACATATAATGAAAGCAGTGGTTCAAGGAGAACACATAGCCTTAACTACTTATTATGTTAATAAAGATTTCTTTAAAATGCTGGTAAATTAAATATCCAGCTCAAATATTTAAAAATTTTTAGAAAGAAAGCAGAAGGAAAGAAATGTCAAAGAAAACTACAAAATTAATAATTTATAAAACAAAACATGAGGACTAACAAATAATTATTCTCAATTATTTTCGCATGTGATAATGATGATCCTATGTTTAAAGAGTCTCCTAAAGTCTTCTTACATTACTGATAGAAGGCAAAAAATGATCCAGTCACTCTGGAAAAGAGGGATTTTTCTTAGAAAGTTAAACATGCACTTATCATAGGATCTATTAATCCTATTCTTTGGCATTTACCCAAGTCTCATGTAAACTATGTTCACTCAAAAGTCTGAATACAAATGTTTATAGTAACTTAATAATCACCCAAAACTTGAAACATCCCAGTCCTTCAACTGGTGTGTAGATAGATAAACTGTGATACATCCATAACACAGAATACTTCTCAACAAAAAAAAGGAACAAACTATTAATGAGTAAAACAATATTGGTGAATATCAATTGTGTCAAAGAAGCTAGACTCCACTTACATGAAATTCTGGAAAAGACAAAATTATAAAACAAAAAGCCAATCAGTGGGGTTGGTAGGAGGATTAATTATAAAGAGGCATAATGGAAATTTGAAGGTGATGGAAGTGTTCCATGTCTTAATTTTAATGGTGTTTACATGACTATAAACATCGCTTAAAACATGGAACTGTACATTTGAAATGGTAAATTTTCCTGTATGCGAATTATACCTCAATAAATCTGACAGCATCTCAGAGATTTAAGTTCTAGAGAGTCTTACTAAAATGTTTACAGATAAAATGAAATCTAATATTTTATTCAAGATCATCTGATGGTTTGGGGAGTAGTTGGAAGTATACATAAAATCAGATTGCCCAAGGGTTGCAATTGGCTGAAGTTAGAGTGGACTTGATTCCCCCTGGGTCAGAAAGATCCCCTGGAGGAAGAGATGGAAACCCACTCCAGTATTCTTGCCTGGAGAATATCATGGACTGAGCAGCCTGGTAGGCTACAGTCTATAGGGTCGCATAGAGTCGGACATGGGTGAAGCGACTTAGGCCCATTACTCTATCCACCTTGCTATTCTGTATATTTGACATTTCTCACCATAAACAATATTTTAAATGTAATAAGTTATTTGGAATTAGAAATTAGCCAACACAGAAGAAAAAGTCAATTTCACATATTCTTAAGATCAAGATACAAATCTTGGTATATTTTGCAGTAAGCTGAATATGTTGTTACCACTGAAAAAGACTTGTTGGAAGTCTTGAACTTGAAAGACTAATTTGGAATTTTATGAAGTAGGTATGCTCCATAGGAGTCCCATATTAAACAAATTAAATTGTATTTTTCTTAAAGTGTTTTATATCTTGATGTGGGCTTCCCAGGTAGCTCAGTGGTAAAGAATCTGTCTGCCAATACAGGAATTGTAGGATATGTGGGTTTGATCCCTGGGTTGGGAAGATACCCTGGAGGAGAATATGGCAACCCACTCCAGTATTCTTGCCTGGAGAATTGCATGGACAGAGGAGCCTGGTGGGCTACAATCCACAGGGTCGCAAAGAGTCAGACACAATTGAGCACACATGCCTACACACACACACACACACACACACATCTTGATGTATGGAATTTTAGCATTCTCAAATTTACTTGTCTATATAATCCTCTTTTTTTTTTTTTCCAGAGTGTTTGCAGAAATAGCATTGCATGGAACATACTTGAGATTCCATACAATACATATCTATAGTTGCTTAGGTGCCAAGAGGCAACTTAATTCTGAGATTAAAACTCAGTGCTAAAAAAACAACAACAAAAAAAAACAAAACAAAACTCGGTGCTTCATATATTAGGGTACTGTTCTCTGCTACATCACATAATTCCCAGAAGTAAAGATGCTTAACAAAATAGAATTTATTTCTTCTTCATATGCTGTCAAATGAGGGTACTGGGGTAGCAGGTGACTTTCCTTTGTGTAGAATTTTTGGGAATTGATATTCTTCTCATATTATTCCTTTTTCATCCTCTAGGGGCTTAGATCCTTCTTCATCTATCCAGCTCCAAGGAAGAATGAAGTCACCTTGATAACTTAACCACCTTTGCCCAGAAGTGATACACATCACTTTTGCTTCCATTTCATTGATGACAGTTAGTCATATGGCCCAACTAGATACAGCAGGGTCTGAGCAATGGAGTTCCTGGCTGGGCAGTTGCTTTGCATGAAACATGAACATGAATTTTGATGGACAGTTCACTGCTTCTACCATGGGCAGCATAAACACATGAGCAATTCAACTAATTCAGTATTTCTACCAGAGATTATGATTTTAATGATCTGAAGTGTGATCCTGGCATCAATATTTTAAAAATTTCCAGATAATTTATTTCTCAGTTTGAATTAAAAAACATAGGAGTAGTCATTAATTTTTAAAGAAGAAATTTATTTTTTCCTACTTTTTCTAGCTTTAGTGAGATACCATTAACAAATAAAAATATATTTTAGGCTGGACAACATGATTTTTAAGAAACAGGTCTGTTATGTATAGGACACCTCATTTTCTATGTTACAAATGAAGTGAGGTGAAAGTCGCTCAGTTGTGTCTGACTCTTTGCGACCCCATGGACTGTATAGTCCAGGGAATTCTCTTAGGCCAGAATTAGGGCAGAATACTGGAGGGCATAGCCTTTCCCTTCTCCATAGGATCTTCCCAAATCAGGGATTGAACCCAGGTCTCCCACATTGCAGGTAGATTCTTTAACAGCTGAGCCACATGGGAAGCCCTTATTACAAATAACCCAATGGAAATGCTAACTTATCAAAAGATATTCTATTTAAAGTCAGGTCAATATGAAATTAGGTCAATTAAAATTAGGTCAATATGAACAAGCACTGCTAATGTGATGATCTGCTGCCAATGATATCTGGATCCCTGGGCAGTATTCTGCAGAATGCTATGGCTTTGCTTTTACCAACCAAAATAGATACATTTTTACCCAGCATACTCCTAGAATATAAATCATTCAGATGGCTGAAACTTATTCTTTGATGGCATGATAGATCACTGGGCAATAGATCCTTGAAGAGATGCTATTTTTCAGAAGTTGCCTTTAAACCATCATTCACACTGTCATAACAGATCCAAGTTTTATAGCCCTACAGCTAATATTCTAAATTATTGAAATTGACACTAAGCAGCATGTCCACCATAAAAGACTTTTTATAAAAGTATACTTGAATTTTATTTCATTTATTTTGATGGATTGCATTAAAGTAATTTGAACTTACTACATAAGTGTCCACACCTACATTTCTCTGCTATGTGTCTAGGAGTGTTTATCTCTATTCTTTAAGAAATGATTCATTTTATTTTAGCCACACAGGTCCAGAAAACACGTGTCCATCATATTTGTATGTAAAGGTGTTTATATTGTTTCATTATGGAACATTTTGTTCCCCCTGGAATGGAGACAATCATAGAAAAGAGATGACCTTTGTTTCTGTGCATAACTTCATTTTATTTCTCAACATAATCAATTGGTTTCTATGTTTGTCAGTTTAGTTTCATCAGCTGCCATAATGGTCAATTACTAAATAAGAATTGATCACCAAGTGGCCTGATGCTGTTTCCTTAGCAACCCTGTGCCCAGTCTAGTTATTTAAATCATTTAAATGCCTAGATCAGATTAGCCATTTGCCATTTGATCAATAGCACAGTGACCTGCATAAGACTGACTAATCTTATTGTGCACTTAGGCAAAGTCTTAGGAGGAATATGGTTGTTTAGTTAACATACAAATATATTTCCCTGGGCAAAACAAAGTATTTGCAGATATGCTATCTAACATTGCAGCTATTTTATTTTTCTATAAAGTGAGAAAAATGCCAGCCTTAAAGTCTATGGTACAAAGCCATAGATAATTTATTCATTTAACAAATGCTAATAAGGACAAAGTAAGATTTTATGAGCTGGATGTTGTGGATATAGTGATGAATAATTCATAGTTCCTGCCTGCAAGTAAATCATAGGCTCATAACAGAGATATACTGGAGTAAATAATTTCAATAGAGCATGGTAAGTAAAACAAGGTATGATAAATGGGGTGGGGGGGAAAGAGTTACTTTTTTCTACTTGAAAAGTTAGGTAATATGCACATAGAGGAGATGAGGCTTAAGTAGGTTCTTGAGAGATTGATAGTCAGTTCAAGGTAAACAAAGAAGAGCATTATAGTCACAGGAGACCTAGGAAAGCACAAAATAGCATAATGTCTGTGTTTTCCCATGTCTCTTGGTTGAAAGTGACAAAATCAGAAAAACCAATTTGAGAAGAAATGTGGATTTTTATTAGAAATAGCAGTAGGAGGGCAGAATAATGACTCTTACTCCACAATATCTACATCCTAACATCTGACACCTGTTGGTATGTTGTGTTACATAGCAAAGAAGAAGTAAAGTTGCAGATGGAATAAGGTTGGTAATAAACTAAATTTAATTAAGATAAGGAGATTGCCCTGGATCATCCAAGTAGGCCCACTGTATCAAGAATTACAAGGGTCTTTACACAGAGAAGAAGAAAGTGGAAACACAAGAACCACAATGGAAAAGACTTAACCAGCATTTCTGACTTTGAAGATGGAAGGGGACCACAAGACAAGAACACGAGCAGTCTGCAGAAGCTGGAAAAGGCAAGAAAACAAATTCAAATTCTCCCTGAGTGCCTCTAAAGGAAATATAACCCTGCTGACACCGTGATTTTTAGCCCAGTAACACTCATTTTGGACTTCAGACTTCTAGAAATGGAAGATAATAAGATTTTTAAGCTACTGACTTTGTGGTGATTTGTAACAGGAGTAATAGGAAACTAATGCATAAACTTACTTGCAATTTAGTTTACTTGAAATATAAATGAAGGGAAAGCTGGGAAATCAATCCTTAAGAAGGGTAGGGATAATTGGAACCAGATTATCAATAATCTACATCTCTCTACTCTTTCTCTCTCAATCTATTGGTTTCCTTCTCTGAGAGCAGCTTTCCCCATGGGGCAGGGGATCTGGTCACTAGCTGCCCTGGGCTCATACATCCTGGAATTTCAGAGAAAACTATTTTTCCATCTTGGTTTCAGTTTGGAAAAAAATGCCACGGAAATATTCTAATGGGCCTATTGTAAGTCAAATGTTAGACCACTGGACTAAGCTCTTGGAGTGAATGATATTAATTAGCCCAGCTGGGACCCCATGCACACTAATTTGGCAAAAAAGAGAGATTTGCTGCCAAAACAATGGGGACAAGAATGTAGGGAAAACTGGAATAGTAGTTGTCTACTACAACATGTTGAATGAACTACAAATGGTTTACTACAGTGAGAACTTAAAGTCAGCAATGAATTCAACCTAAATTCCTATGAATAGTTGCTGCTGCTGCTGCTAAGTCATTTCAGTCGTGTCCAACTCTATGCGACCCCATCCCTGGGATTCTCCAGGCAAGAATACTGGAGTGGGTCGCTGTTCCCTTCTCCAGAGGATCTTCCCAACTCAGGAATCGACCAGGTCTCCTGCACTGCAGGCAGATTCTTTACCATCTGAGCCACCAGGGAAGCCTAGATCATTTAATTGAGCTCTAACTCTGCAGACTTGATTCCCAGAACTCTAGCTTTCCCAAAGGCACGTTTATGAGCTTCTTTTTAATCAGGGAGGTCATGATAGATAAGTTCAATTTACATTGGTTTACCATGTTGTTTTCAGTATAGGAAATTTAGGAACTTGGTCAGCTGTGAGGAGACTGAGGTCAGGAAAGTAGATCCCTACTAAGAAGTGCTATTTCTTGGGTCACCTCTAGGCAACCAAAGATCCAGTCATGAATCTTCAGCCTTTTAGAAAGTGACTTGGATTTTGGTTTCAAGATCTGGATACAAGCCTAAGCTACACTCTTTCTTAATTTTATGACCTTGGGCTGGTTCTCTCAGCACTGTAAATCTCATTTTCATTACCTGCAATCTATATATTGATCATAAAATCTGCTCCCTGTAAAAGCTGTCATTTATTGAGAGCTTATATGTATCAGACACTTTATGAGGGTTCCAGGAAACTTCAGTCATGAAGGAGAAGTCACTGGCCTTGAAACAAAGTAAATCTGTAAACTAAAGAAAGAGGGCAGAGCCCTGATGAAGTGCTATAGACATAAAATCAAAGCTGAACTTGCAATGAAGTTAACTGGATGCAGAGGTCTTTAAAGTAAAGTTCTTGTTGGGGATATGATGGCTTGCTGAGTCTAAGTGAGCTGGAAGCAGGGTTACACAGTCTGCAGGTGAAGGAGGTCAATCGTGGGGTGATACAAAGAAAGAGACAGAAACAGACAGAGACTGAGTATGGAGGCACAAAAATCATTCCACTTCCCTTTCTGCCTCTGCTTTTCCTACCCCAGGTTTTCCAAGTATGAAAACCACTCTTGAAGCCAGCATTCATTTGGCAATTCCTTAATGAAAATGATTCAAATGAACCTAGGAAAGGAACCTTCAATCAAGACAGTCTTTATAACAGCCCCAAATGGCAGCTGTTTCCCAAATCTTAGAATTAGAACATTGCTGAGTCTGACCCTGTAGGCCAGCTAGACCCACACTCACTTAGCAGAGTGTCCCATCTAACAAAGCACCATACTACTGTTAGGAGTTACTCTAGCCCATGCATATTCATCTCCTAGGGCTGCTATTACAAAGCACGACAAGCTGGGTGGTTAAAACTATAGAGATGTATTGTTTCACAGTCTCCCTGTGTGTCTCTGTCTTTGCATGGCTATATTCATAGAAGGCCATTATTCATACTGGATTAGGGGCCCATCTTACTCTGGTATGACCTCACTTTAAATTAGCTAATTGTATCTGCAATGACCTTATTTCCAAATAAGGCCCTAGTCTGAGAATCTGGAGATTAAGACTTCAATATATCTTTGTGCTATGTTTAGTCACTTTAGAGAAGAATATGGCAACCCACTCCAGTGTTCTTGCCTGGAGAATTCCATGGACAGAGAAGCCTGGCAGGCTATAGTCCATGGGGTCTCAAAGAGTTGGACACAACTGTGTGACTAACACATACACACACATGATTAGTTGCTCAGTCGTGTCTGACTCTTTGTGACCCCATGCACTGTATAGCCTGCTAGGCTCCTCTGTCCATGGGGATTCTCCAGGTAAGAATATTGGGATGGGTTGCCATTCCCTCCTCCAGGGGATCTTCCCAACCCAGGGATTGAACCCAGGTCTCTTACATTGTAGGCAGATCCTTTATGGCCAACCGAATAATTCAACCCATAATATCATCCTCTTATTTTTGACCAACTCCATTCAGATTCTACATCGGTTTGCTTGTTGGTTCCTGACTCCTGATTTCTCTGCTATTTATGACCCAGCTGTTATACTTGGGGTTAGGGTTCACAGATTGTTGATACAAACA